GGATGAAGCCACTGCTTTCTGCATGATTAAGCATGATTTCATCCATCATGGAGGTTGTCTTTGATGACTTTGTCTATTTTTTCTGTCTACACACAAGATTTCCCCATTTATTTTAAAGAAATAACAACTGAAAGAAATATTGATGTTGTCAAATTATTTAAAAAAGTTATATTTTGATGCTCACCTGATTATTAACCAGGTCATTTATTTATTTATTTCATAAATGCCTAATCACAATGTTCCAGTTACCATGGCAACTATTACATGTTCAAATGTTTTGGAACATTTGGATTTCGCAAAATGTAGGCCTACACGCAACTACATGCGTGACTGAAGGGTCATAGAGCAGGTGTGCTCTCTCTGCTMAAATATTTGCCGATACAGTAAATGTATCAGGTAAAATATTAAAACAATAAACAAATACAGCATCAAAAAGTGAATCATTTTCAAAGAAGTAAAATTTGCTAAAAAAAAAAGCATAATGCATGTCAACGGGACAGGGGAGCATACGATAAGAGTGCTTTTGATTAGCACAATGGAGAGCGACTCAAATGTATTGTGTCTGACAAAGGCAGAACTAACATAGAAATAAAAGAACCCATTACATTTAAAATCATAAAACCTCTTGTAAACCTGATACATATTTTTTTCTCATTTTACAACCCTTAGAAAAAGACAGCAAGGGAAAAAAAAGGTTTAGCTATGCTCTTACCTTCTCTGATGTAGGTAAAGTTTGAGTTCTGGTAAAAGTGTCTCCTCCGTTAATACTGATGAGTTCAGCATCTACAGGTGGAAACTGGGCGGGGAAAACRACTACGTCACTCTTCAGTGTGTCTGAGCTGAAACACACGTCATACTGCTGAGTAGCTTTAGAGTAAGACCAGCTCCCHTCAGGGTGGGTGGTGATCATTGGGGCGCTYTACCTGCTGAAAGAGCCGTCTGTCCTGTGGCATCTGACAGCTATTAAACTGATGAGACTCAGCAGAAAGATCACCGACACCGACACGATGGCGATCAGCAGATACAGGTTGAGATCAGAGAAGCTGTCCTCCTTTATAGGCACGTGTCTGAATGGAGTCTGGATGTCAGCTGAGCTTTCAACCACCACCACATCAACAGACACAGTAGCTGACAGAGAAGGTTCTCCGTTATCAGAAACCAGCACCACCAAGGGGTGAGTTTTCAGGTCGTTGTCGCTCATTCTCCTCTTAGTCCTGATCTCCCCGGTGCTGGTTCCAATCCTGAACAGGTTGTTTCCTTTGGGCTCAGACAGGTGATAAGAAAGCAGCGCATTGTATCCAGAATCTGCGTCCACAGCCCTGATCTTTGTCACAAAAAGTCCTGCCTCAGCAGAATAGGGGATGCTCTCACTGTTAACAGAACCGAGCTCAGAATAAGGAGCCAGAATAGTGGGACTGTTGTCATTCTCATCCAGGATTAAAACATTTACAGTCACGTTGCTGCTGAGCGGAGGAACACCAGAGTCTGTGGCCTGAACTTTAAACTGAAATGTTTTTAGCTCCTCATAGTTAAAAGCCTGCAGACTGATTATGTCTCCAGTCTCTGAGTTAATATTCACCATTGTTAATAGTGGCAAATTGTTACCTTTAGTTTCAACAATTGAATAGCTCACCTGCGCATTCTGATCTACATCGCCATCATGAGCAGACAACTTCTCTAAAACAGTGCCAACAGGAGTGTTCTCTTTCAAATAAACATTTATTTCAGTCTCTGAAAATAGAGGTGCGTTATCATTTACATCGGAAACATAAACAGTGAAATCTTTTGCACTAGTCAGAGCTGGAATCCCCTCATCTGATGCTACGATTGTAATGTTATAATACAAATCAACCTCTCTGTCCAGCTGCCCGTCAACAACTAGTGAGTAATAATTTTTATAATTAGTTTCCAGTTTGAAGGGACTGCCGTTTTTAATGCTACAGTGAACGATTCCGTTTTTCCCTCCATCTCTGTCCAGCACTGACACAAGCGCAATAGCTGTGCCTATAATCGCATCCTCCTTTACTGTGTTAATCAGTGTGGTTACAGCTATTTCAGGAGTGTTGTCATTTACGTCATTCACTTCTATCAGCACCTTGGACTGTGACGTCATAGGTGGGTAGCCTCTGTCGGTGGCCTGAACGCGGATTTCAAAAGCAGGGTGCTCCTCAAAGTCAATGTTCCCTTTAACTGTGATCAAACCTGTCTGCTCGTTGATTTGGAACAAATCTAATACGTGATCTTGATCTTTGCTGCTCAGTGAATATGAAATCTCTGCGTTCGGTCCTTCGTCGTCATCTGTCGCTGTTACAGTTATTACTGACGTGCCGAGGGGCGCGTTTTCAGTAAGGCTCGTTTTATACAAAGTTTTAGTAAATATCGGAACGTTATCATTTACATCTAATATTTTAATGATTAATTGTGACGTTCCTGATTTTGGAGGTGTCCCTCCATCCACAGCAGTCAGCGTGAGTTTGATAACGGGCTGTTTCTCTCGGTCTAAAGGCTTCTGGAGGARCAGCTCAGCAGACACTCTGTCTCCTTTGTTCACGGTTAGAGAAAAATGATCATTTGTGCTCAGCTTATAAGTGCTGATATCGTTTTTGCCCACATCAGCATCGTAGGCTGATAACACAAGAAATTTAGTCCCAGGCAACGTGCTTTCAGCTATCTCTATGTTTTGAGAACTAGTCGTGAATGWCGGATAATTGTCATTTACATCAATGATATTTATATCCAAACGGTAAAGCTTCAAAGGAGCGTTTATCACCGCCTCCACGCTCACGGTGCATTTGGCCGCTTTTGCGCAGAGCTCCTCCCTGTCTATCCTGTCCGTGACAAAGAGAACACCCGTCTTCAGGTTTACCTCAAAATGTTTTCTCTTGGCCCCTGTCACAATTTGAAACACGCGAGGCTCCAGCTCCTGGACAGCGAGGTTCAGATCTTTGGCGATGTTCCCCACAGATGTGCCCTGCGTTACCTCCTCAGATATTGWGTAAGAGAGCTGACCGAACACCACCGTCCAGCCGCAAGTGAACAATAAAAAAAGGACAAAATCCATCGGAGGATGTCTGTTCATTAAATACATAATCCGATCGGAAACGAATCCAGAATGATAAAAAAACAATTGTCTGAAGGCCAAATACAAAAAAGAAACCCTTTCTTTAGATATAATCCACCGTGCCTGTGTTCTTTCTGCGTTTATGTTTTCTTTGTGTCAGCCCAGTAAGACAGAAGCATGCTCTTTTAAATAGGAACGGATCACAGCGCTTTATTAACCATGTTATGGTCTATATCTCCCCCTCATGGTCTTCTATATTTATTACATTGCATGCAAGAAAGANTTCTTATAGTTTGTTTCCAGTTTAAAGGGACTCTCGTTTGCAATTACAGCTTTCACTGCCCCGTTTTTTCCTCCATCTCTGTCCAGCACAGACACAAGCGCTACAGCTGTTCCTACAGTCGCGTCCTCTTTCACTGTGTTTAGCAGTGACGTCACAGTGACCTCAGGAGCGTTGTCGTTCAGGTCCAGCACCTCCACCAGCACTTTGCAGCGAGCAGACATGGAAGGCTGGCCTCTGTCACTCGCCTGTGCGTGGATCTCTAAAGCAGGACTTTTCTCGTAGTCTATTTTACTTTTGACTAGAATTGCACCCGATTTGGAGTCAATTTGAAATAAATCTAAAACTCGATCTTGCCCTTTCTTCCTCAATGAATATTCAATTTCCCCGTTTGAAGCTTCGTCTGCATCTGTGGCATTTAGAATGATTACGGTTGTTCCTTCTAAGACGTTTTCAGCAATCTGAACTTTGTATAAAGACATACTGAATACAGGGTGGTTGTCATTAATGTCTAATACAGTGATAATGATTTGTGACGTCCCCGACTTAGATGGATTTCCTCCATCTACTGCAGTCAGGGTGAGTTTTATTACAGAGTGAGTCTCCCTGTCTAAGGACTTTTGCAGCACGAGCTCAACAGACACACTTTCACCTCCTTTGTGAATTTCTAATGAAAAATATTCGTTGTTACTTAATCTGTACGTATTTACATTATTTATGCCAACATCTAGATCCGACGCTCCTAGAAGTCCAAATCTGACGCCTGGTAAAGTATTTTCAGGCACCTCGATTGTTTGTAAATTCTCAGAGAAAACCGGAGCGTTGTCATTTACATCTTTAACTGTTATCTCTATCCGGTACAGCTTCATCGGGTTGTTTATCACAGCCTCTATACTCACGGTGCATGCTGTTGCCTTTGCGCAAAGCTCCTCCCGGTCGATTCTTTCACTGACATAAAGAACGCCCGTTTTTAAATTTACATCGAAATATTTTCTTTTCGAGGCACCAACAAGCAGGAACGCACGAGACTCCAAATCCTGCACGTTTATGTTTAGATCCTTGGCGATATTTCCAACTGAAGTCCCGGGGTTTAGTTCCTCAAAGATGGAATATGAAAGCTCAGCTGAGACGGCTTCCCAGCCACAGCTCAGCAGCGCGAGCACAATGCAAGCTGGAAAAGGGCTCGTCTCTCTTGAGAAACGCATGATTGCATTCATTCAAAAAATAAAATAAAAATGAACAAGCCTCAACTGTCAAGCAAAACAGCCATTAGTTTGAATTTTGTCATGCGGTTGGACGCTCCAGGTCTCTCCAGTCCATCGACTTTTTCTAACAAAGACCAACAAAACACACCGTCCTCCTATTTTCAGGGTGGAGTGAATGTGTGGAAAAAAACTGCTAAAATGCCGTGGTCTCAAGTGTCACCGTGTGGTGATGGACAATTACTGCACGCATCCTCTGATGAAATGATAAGAACAAATAAACAAAAATAAATGTGTGTATATATATATTTAAACCAACGAATCCAACAGTAACTAAAATATTGAGAACAATTTAGTTAAGTTACATCCTACAGTTATTCTCACACAAAACACCATCATTTACCAAACAAACAAAAACAGCAATTATCAGAATATATATATATATAT